AGAGGCAGGGAAGCAGGTGTTTGACATATTCCGCGGCTGGGGAGCACCAAGGTGCAGGACTTCTATTTGGAATGTGGGTTGATGGAGTGGGCATCAGGGTTTTGAATGTCTGATGTCCATATAAAGCTGCATTGGCATCTTGGTGAGTGCCTAAAAATTCGCTGCTTCTGTCACATTGGTACCTAGGCCAAGTAGGTAAAGTCTTCTGAGGTTTCAGAGGCTCTAAGAGAGGGGGATATCTAGAAGTAAGCTCTTTATATGGGGTCTGAGGCAAATGACACTGCTATTGAAGAACAATACAAGATCTGTCTAGACCTGACAGTTGCACTGTTCTCAAGTGAACCTGCATTTTAAACATTTAGACAGAAACGTCTACCTTACTTCTAACATGGCCTTGAGAGCTGCTGGCATTGATGCTCAGTCTTTCCTCTTGTAGTTTATTGGATTTCAGAGGTTTAGAGTATTTCAGGGATGCTGACAGAGGTTTGGGTTTCTGCCTAGGAGCTAAAGCAGGCATGGCATATTGAAGAAGCGGGGTTTGGACACTCGTGACCTTTAACAAAGGTACGTGCAAGTCCATGTCTGTTCTGGCTTTTCTCTTCACAGGTCTGCATGTTACACCGAGTACATGTGCAGTATGATATGGGATGCATGAACAAATGCGTTCAAACCTAAAGAGCATCTTCCTGGCAGTAAGAAGAGCAGATACATGCACTGAGAGCAAAGTTTTGGCTCAAGAGAAATTAAGATTTTGAAGTATATATAAACACAAAAGCAAAAATGTAATCTTTTGTAGCTCACCAATCCTTAAATGTGGCGGATGCATTCCTTTTTTCTTTTTTTTTTTAAAGCTTTTCTTCCTTTTCTTTTTACCTGGTGATCCACACTTCCTGTCTAAGGCCCCGTTCACACATTAGTGTAAACGTTAGGCAGCACTGGAGGGGTAGTCGTCTGGCTACATGCTTACTTTAGTTTGAATTTTGGAGGGAATGTGAGGTCACGATGATGTCAGAGAGATTCTTTGGATTGGTTCACATTCACAGTTGGTGTGTATATAGTTCGCTCTATTTCACTTGCTCTTATCACTTGTTTGCCTGATGAAGGGGATCCTGTGAGACCCCGAAAGGTTGTATCTTGTGTTTTGCATTTGCAACAAGTACGTGAATAAATAGATGTACTGGATTTGCTTTGGAGTGCCGGTATCCATCCTTTTACTTATACTTTGACGGAAGCCAACCGTTGACACCTGCTGCACCCACATCTCATGGAGCAGCGGTTCTGAGTGCGATGGGTACATGGACTGTATCAGGTTCTCTGTGAGGTAGCATTAGCGGTCTATCAGACACCTAATGCCACCTTTGCACTTTTCAGCTGCCAGAACGACAGTCAGCTTTACACAGGTTCCCGTTGATCTGTTTACAGGGGCACACCGCCAGCGACATATGGCATACGTTGTTGGCATCAAAGGGTTTTAAAGTAACTATTCAGGTCCTGTCTGGGTAGATTATATGCTGATCTGTCACTTTAAAACCCATCTCTTGTTAAATGGGGCCACAGACTGCAAATAAAAACCTGACAGAGGTTCTCATTGCTCATCTCTTGTCTTTGAATTGTAAACCAGAGTGAGATCATATGTGTTCTGGGTGAATGACTCCGAATATATTACAGCCAGAGATAGCCAGGCAGCCCTTTTAAATGGTGAACCTTCATGTTTTTCTTTTGCAAAATCAACCTAAGAAGTTGATATGTAATTCTAATTTGAGGCAAAGATTAAATTAGTATTAAACTCTCAAACTCTTTTCAACAATGAATCCAGAACAAGCAAATGTTGCCCAGCAAAGTGTTTCTTTATATTTTTGTCCAAGCTTTTACAGTCATGTTTCTGGACAGCTGGCTCCAACTCTCTCAGCTCCACTTCCCAGAACTTCCTGTCCAGTAGATTTTAAGGCACAGTAGATTTTAAAGAGATTATAAGGGACAGCGCAGCCTCCAGCAGCTGTCCATCTACTAGCTTGGAGGAGAGGGGAGCAGGACAGTGAGTTAATCTGCTGTGCCTTTGTGTTTGAGGGAACATGCAGAGCCTACTAGCTCCATAGGACCCTGCAAGGCAAAGGAAACACCCTAAAACAGGATATCAGGGCCATTGGTCAGGGGATCAGCTGATTCTGCGGGAAACTAAAACTTTTAAACTTCAAGAAACAACATCCATTGTAAGTAATTTCATCAGCATCTGAAATACAATAAAAACCTTGTGACTTTAATATCACTTTAACACTGATTATTGTTTAAAAAGTCAGTTGCTTCGCTTTCTATAAGTTCAGTACTTTCTAAACCAGGCGTTGAAGTCATCATCTTCTGAAAAAGGAAGTCAGCTGTAGCAGTCTTTTCTTTTTCTTAGTACTGGTTTCTCTCAAAGAAACTTTGAAAACATATGTTATGACAAAAGAAAAAAGAAGTCCTGTGTAGTACATCTCTGTAAGACGTGCGCCATTAGACATCAACTACATTTGCATGTCATGTACAATGGTTAGAATTCTTAGGAACTGATTTCATGAATTCTCAATGTTGTGTGCAGAATTTCTTTATGTTCATTATATAGTTTTATCTTCTTTTTTGTCTTTTGTAGGATTCATTTCTAGCACTTGTAGATCTTTCCAGTCCCTGGTACAAGTGGTAGATGATACCTAGACCAGAACAGGTGGCTACCTGAGGCCTCAGACTCAGGGGGGTCATGGGAAAGATAAGAAGTTCTGCACTACCGTGCTTCTCAATCCTTACACTTTTTTCCAGAGGAAAGTCTGCAATGGCAGCTTTGTATTCCTCTCAATATACCTTTTGTTTACGGCTGCAACTAACGTTAATTTCATAATGGGCAGAGGAGGTCATGTCTGCAGTGGGCAGGTGCAATGGCCAGCCTGCTATTTGCAGTTTGAAATAGCCTATAGCAGGCCGGCTATTGCACCTAATGTGAAGTCACAGCAGCGTTAGCTGACAGCTGGTCTCTCCTCACTGCTAGGCTTCAGCTGCAGCGGTCTGTGTCCTCCTCCGATCCCCGCTTTCTCTTCTGATACAGGCGGGGGAGAACAGTGGGGATCGGAAGGGACACAAACTGCAGCATGCTGTGGGCTCCCTGCAGGAAGGAGAGAGCTGCAGATCGGCGGTCGGTTTGGGAGAGCTCTCCTCACTGCTAGGCACCGGCTCCCAGCGTGGAGGAGAGAACTAGATGATCCATTGACAACGATTTTCATTATCGATTGTTATTGATTAATTGATTCGTTGTTTGCAGCCCTAGTTTTGTTTACAATAAACATTTATACAAATGGATATGAACATTCCTTGTACTTGGAAATCACTTATGTAATATCTGCCCAATCACCAGCAGGAGGTTAACAACAAAAAGAGTTGTAAACATTGCGCTCAAATCCTTCAGCAATACTATACAAATGCATGTCAGAAGCAAGACACAAATGGCATACACTGAGCCCATTTAACTGATGCAATTGCCACTAACTGACAATGCTGGAATGGTTGGGGGGGAGAGGAGTTAGCATTACTGAAACGATGGAGCTTATTGAATTCCCATTGTCTCTTCAGTGTATGTTGCGGTAAAAAAAAACAGCAGGGTGGTTAGGTGGCTTTGCAATTCTAGAACTTGGTGGGAAGAGCAGAATCTGCCACTGGTTCTCTTAAGTGCACACACAAATGATCTACAAAGATGTGATTGAGATGAGATATATATACATACATACATACATACATACATACATACCCTTCTGGTGTTTCAGGTAGGACCATCTTTATCTCCCATACACCTCCACAATAATTTCCCATTCCCTGTATCACCCTCTCCCATTCTGCACGTACCTCCTAATTTCTATTCCTTCCCCAATTCAGCTCCTATTCCCTGCACCATCCCCCCCCCAATACATTATAAAAGAACACGGCACTAATTTGAAGAAACTGTAAAAGGGATTCCCACATTTAATTTTGTGTATGTCCTTATGGGAATGATTTGCACACTTTTTTTAATGAGTTTTCACAAAGTCAGATTAAAAAGGAAAGTGGGATTGTAGTATATTGTATATGAAAAATAGCAAAAGAAATTGCAAGCCGTGTGTGTGTTGCTGCGGCTGAACGCTGATGAACATTGCATTTCGACGCAGCAGCACCCTGTACTATGGCTACATTTAGACGGGACAATTGGTGGTCTCCAGTTTGTTTGCAGTCAGTACACCAGCCCTGGACGAAAGCAGTCTACGGTCAGGCCCTAATCCACATGTAACTGCTTATATGAGCAGATACATGAGAACAGTGCCAACTATTGATTTGTACAGGGTCCAGACTGGACACTGCAGCTGTTGGCCATGGCTGTTTGCTCCTATTGTGCATGGGGCTAAGGTTTCTCCCCCAGCGGGGAACTAATCACCCATCTGAATGAGGCCTAATGGAATTGGAGAGAAACCTGTTCATGCTCCCAAAGTTATTCTGTTCTTAAATGGGCACACAATTGTATGTAACAGAAACCAGAAAACCAAAGAGAACATTTGGGGACGTCTTTTAGTTCCATTTACATTCAGTTGTTCACTTATAACATGTTTTAGCATGTTGGCACCTATTTCTATATTGCAAACACTATCAAGCTGTTTGGTTGTTTTACCCGTAGATAGCATTGAGAAATATGAATGCTTATGTATGCCTTTGGGAATCTTCAGATTACTATTTTCAGTATTTCGTCACTAAAATGTGGCAAATGCAGCGTTACATGCTATGTTGGTTCTTTTGACAAGTATGTACAGCAGCCAGAAATATTTAGCTCTTCAATGTTTTTGGCGAAAGGTATTTCATTTTATTTTCCTTCCTTTTAATAGCTGATCTGATGATCAGTCTTTGTAATAACAAGATGTCTATTATGTACAGTTTATTTTTAATATTATTATAGTCTGTTACTTATTCTGTTCATAATGTGTATAGGGCACTCCTAACTCTCCTAACCATCATAGGTACATCGCTGGCGCCCGACTATGTTCTCAGGATGAAGCGCAGACTGGATGATCCAGAGGCAGCTGCCTACCCACCCCAGCCTCGCCGAATCACTGAACCATTTGCCCACCAGCACCGTGTTCTGGCTCCAGCTCCTCCGGCTTATGAACCACAATCTGATAGCATGCAGCCCACAACGGGCATCCAATACTCAGTGACACCAGGATATCAGGTGGGCTGTTCAGTATTCCTTTTTGGGCTTTATATTTATTATTCTACTATTTTTACCCCGTTGTTGGCTTGTTATGTTAGTAGTTTAACATATTCAGTGTTTCAGTCAACTTTCAGGACTTTTATATTTTTCCTTTATTGGTGTGATGGGTTGAGTGTCTTGCCTTACATTTGCATTGTTGAACTGTGTTCATTGGGTTTTCCTTGTATCAATACACATCTATACTATTTATATACAAAGTCTACCTTTTTCCTATGCTAACATACACCAACTCTTTGCTCTCAGGTGTCCGCAGTGCCTCCAAGCTCTGGTAGCCATGGGCAAGCAGCTCTTGCAGCAGTACATGGAGCACACCACCACAGCACACCTGTGCCAGGCCACGGAGGTCCTGGTGTGCAAAGTCATGCACATTCAACCCCTCCGGCTGCACCTGCTCAGGGGCAGCAATTCCAGAGACTGAAGGTAAGAGGAGTTTCACATGCCTTGTCCATAGAAGCAAAAGTGACTTTGCTCACAAAGGAAAAAACTGTATACTGTTTGCATTTGCCCGATATTTTCAATTTGTCTTGGGTTTATTTGAGCAGCTATGTGATGCCCGTTAACTGGCTCACTTATGAATATTGCCCAGTTTACTTACGGTTCTGATTTAGTGTTTAATGCATTCTCTGTTCTTGCTGTCAGGTGGAGGATGCACTTTCTTATCTCGATCAGGTGAAACTGCAGTTTGGCAGCCAGCCCCAGGTGTACAATGATTTCCTTGACATAATGAAGGAGTTCAAATCCCAAAGGTGAGTTCTTCCAGTCCAGTACCTCAGTGAACTGTATGGATCTATCTATGGTGTCATTTATACACAGGAAACGCTTATCTTTAACATGCACCTACTTATGCTTGATGATATGTGGTGGATAGATTTGCTATATAATAATGGTAACAAATGTAAAAACTAAACTTGACGAAGTGGTCAACGAAACTAATTTTGTAACTCCAATTTTCCTTTTACTTCTAATTGTAGCATTGACACTCCAGGGGTCATCAGTCGGGTTTCACAGCTCTTCAAAGGTCATCCTGACCTGATTATGGGTTTTAACACCTTTCTGCCACCAGGATATAAAATTGAAGTGCAAACAAATGACCTGGTAAATGTCACCACACCTGGACAGGTCCATCAGATCACGACTCATGGGTTGCAGCCCCCTGTTCCACCAGTTCCCCCTCCATCACAACCGTCCACTCAGACAGCTCCTCCACCAGTTCACCCAACTCCACCACCAGCCCCAGCAAAGATCAACAAGGTAAGAAACCATTTGTTTTGTAATGGACATCTGTAAAATATGACGTTATTATTATTTAATTTAACAGAAACGTTCTTTTGTATATTTTATTTTTCTTTCTTTTTAAACCAAATGGCAGGACAGTTTTTCTTGTTTTAATTTCTAGAATGAAGTCTCATTCTCTTCGCATGTTTCAGCATTGGACCTGTACATTAGGGAGCTGATTTATGAATCTTCGGGCGTATAGCTGGGTGAATGCCATTCGCGCAGCATTACTGCCACTGGAAGGAGCCAAGGAACATAGGAAACTCCTGTGTTCCTCAGCACCATCTAGTGGCGATAGTGCTGTGCAAATGGCATTCACCCAGCTATATGCTGTGTAGAAGATTTATAAATCAGCCCCTAGGTTTAGTTAATAACGGCAAGTAAGCATTTTTTTTGTTTTGTTAACCTGTAACACACTTTCCAATGGATATAATATTGAGGTGCAAACAAATGACCTAGTAAATGTCACAACACTTGGACAGGTCCATCAAATCCCAACCCATGAGCTGCAATCCCCTGTCTCTAAGGTTCCTCCACCTTCACAACTGAACACTCAGGCAGCCCCTCCACCAGCCCCAGCAAAGATCAATAAGGTAAGAAAAAGGTGCAAGATAGGTGGGTGAAGAACATTTTAGGTGCCACTTGATTTTCAAAGGCACGTGTCTAACAGTTGATCAGTTTGAATAAATCTGTTGACTCTTTCTTATTCTTACGGTTCTTTTTGGGGAATTACTGTTGATTGAATTGAAGCACTGGTTTAGGTTTCCGACACATTCGGTCTTGGTGTACACTTGAGAAATTGGCAACTGCTGGGTGCATGTAAACATTTCCCAGCATGGTGGTGGGTTTTTCATCTACATTCTTTAATTTGGAGATTAAACATTGGTAATTGTTAAGCTGTTTATTCCCCAGACATTTTGATAATGTATAGTTTCCACAAAATGTCTAATTCAAATTACTGCATAATGTTTAATCTCCTTCTATAAATAGAAAGTTACATGCATATGTTTGCTGTATTTACAAGTCTTCTGGCTTACTTTATAAATAACCATCTATTTATTTGCAGCCAGTGCCATCTCAGGCACATACACCAACCAGCCAACAGAGCACACCAATCCAGTACCCATCTCCCCGTTCTCCACCAGCACAGCCACATACACCAGGACCACTGGCACATGCCACACCCACAGCAGCCGCAGCTACACCTACAATGCAAAACAACCAGCCTGTTGAATTCAATCATGCCATCAATTACGTGAACAAAATAAAGAATCGCTTTCAAGGCCAGCCTGACATTTACAAGGCTTTCTTGGAAATTTTGCATACCTACCAGGTGAGTGTTTGGCGCTCTATATACTTCTTCTGTCATTATACCCTATTTTATGGGAAATACAGAAATTCTATAGGAAAAGTATGCTTAAATTCCAAAGCAGAGATGGCACAGATCTATTTATCTGCCTCTCTACTGGCGGATGTATTTTTTTTTTTTTTTAAGGCCTAATTATTTCAATGTTAGAGGCCATGACCATTAACCGCTCGCTGACCGGGTGTTAAACCCCCTTCCAGGCCAGGCCATTTTTCAGTATTCAGCGCTGCGGTACTTTGACTGACATTTACTCCATCATGCAATGCTGTTCTGAAATTTTATACAATTTTTTTGGGGACAGATAGAGCTTTCTTTTGGTGGTATTTAATCACCACTGGGGTTTTATTTTTTTTGAACATTTTGAAAAAAACAAAACTATTTTCCCCTACGTTATGTACATCCGAGCATTTGCACGAGTACGAGTACTCATGCAAATACACGGTATCGCGGCCGATACCGATGCTTGTATCGGTGCATCCCTATTATGTTATAAAACAATTATTATTACCTAATTTTTTGGTAAAATATAAAAGACGGGGTCACGTCGGGTAAATAGACACCAAACATGTTAATGGCCCTAAAATTATTGCTCACACTTCGATGTTCGCGGCGATATGTAAAGTGTGGCGTAATCACTGTTTTCGCACGTAGGCGCACCCAACACCTATTTACGTTTATAAGTTGGGCACTTAAAACTTTTTTTTTTTTACAATTAACTTGATTGCTATCACATAGGGGGATTTAGCCCCCTATGTGATTGCCAATATATAATGACAGGTCCTCCTCTATGGATACATCAGGGGTCTCTAAGACCCCTAATGTCACCTTGGGACCCCCAAAGAGATCTGCTTCACCATCTTCTTTGGCTATAGCAGCCAGAGAAATGACAGCTAAAGGCGGAAGTGATGTAATATACATCACTTCCGCCTTTTAGAGCGGGAGGAGGAGAGATCAGCGGTGGGGAAATGCTCATCTCTCCTCCTCTCTACTAGTAGCTGCTGTGCTGGTGTTCTCTGTCCCGGGCACCTCAGGGGTGACATCGGTTTCGGGGATAACCGGGACTGGCAACAGAGGGGGAGGGGTTCGGTAGCGCGGGGGCTGGTGGGTGGGTAAATGTACGTCCACCCGCTGGGAAGCATCCGCCGTACGCCTGTATTTTTACAATGGGTGGACGGCAAGGGGTTAAAGATAGATCTCCATTCAGATAGTTTATCCTTTTCTCCCAAACCAGTATTAACCGTCGTCCATTTTTCAATGAAAACAAATCTGTTTCATTTTTGCATGTTCTTTATGGGGTTAGGTTTTATAATAAGCCTAGAATTTCAGTTTGTTTACCAAGGCACTAGGCCTAAAACTAGAGAGCCAGACCTCATGAATTATGATTATAGTGTACAGAATGTACACTATAAAACCTGCAAATGTGTAGGTGTAGAATCTGAACATTAGGTGAACAACATGCATGCATGTGCTTCCCCTCTAAGACAGTTGCACCAGAACAGGTGTCCCCTTTGGAAAATGTCCTTTCTACTTTTGTTTCAGTGACGCAAACAAATGTTGGATTTCCAATCACTTTCTGTCCCAGTAACAATGGTTACAAAGATAAATTGATACAGAGAAAGCAATGAAAATCTCAGAGGCTTAAATTGCATGCAAACCTATAATAGACACAGGGGGGAAGTTATCAAAACTGGAGCAGACAGAATCTGGAGCAGTTGCCCATTGTAACCAATCAGCTTCTCTCTTCAGTTCGGTTAAGACTTGAAAATGAAAGAGAGAGGCTGATTGGTTGCCATGCACAGCTGCTCCAGTTTTTGTCTGCTCCAGTTTTGATAAATTCCCCTCAACGTACCTTGAGCTGCTCCCTAAGCAGGAGTAACGTCACTCTAGAACGTGTGCTCCGTGTGGACTCCAATCTGACGTGCCAACACAGTGTTCCAGCAGGTACAGTTTAGAGTTCACGGAGCACCAATGCGTCGTAGGATGCCCTAGTCATTGCAAAGAGAGGCAAATTGAAGCAGCTGAACAATTTGGGCAAACACGATGTGCGGATTTCACTAGTTAAAAGGGTAAGTATTGGGAAATCTTAAAGAAAAAAGCCACACACCTGTAGGGAATGATTTTAGGGGTGTTCTAAGTACACCCAAATCACACCTAATGGGTAACCTAATTTTGTGATTTGACTGTGCTCTCACCTTTTAGGTGTTTAGCAAAAAAAAGTGCAGTGCTTCTCTGTGTGCAGCTCTAGGATCCCTCTACCTGTTGATATGCAAACACAACCAAGGCAATGGGACATGCAGTCTCTTCAAGTCGGCCCACCCAATCAATGGCTTTGTCTCAACACAGATACTGCCTTTTGACAGAAGATATGTCCTAGTCTTGACAGCTGGTGAGATCCCACACACAGTTAAGGTGCCCATACGCCTTACAATTATCTGTAAGGTGTATGGGCACCCTTAGGTAAGTAGGCTAGTGTTTAGGTTAGGATTGGCATTGCATCCCCATCACAATTAATATGGAGAAATCTGTGGGTGACTTGGGCACATGAAGAGTGCCAAGAAGCCCGTTGTAATACCAGGGGTTCACCACTATTATTTGGCCACAGATCCTGATGGCAAAGGTAAATGTTAAAGGCACAAGTTTAGGGCGTTAAAGCATTTTTCTTACAGATATCAAATCCTTGAAGTTGGAAATATTAGGCAGATCACATACAGTACTCTTGCCCACATATTTTATCTCTTTTGGCATTTTTCCTTTCTTGGAATACTAGGTATTATCTTACAAACTAGAGTAGGATTTTAGATGTTTTTTTTTCACATGGTTTTCTGAACTATACTCTAGAAGGAGCAGCGTAACGCTAAGGAAGCTGGCGGAAACTATACCCCAGCCCTCACTGAACAAGAGGTCTATGCCCAGGTTGCACGGCTTTTCAAGAACCAGGAAGACTTGTTGTCAGAATTTGGACAGTTCCTGCCTGATGCCAACAGTTCAGTGGTAAGATGTCTGCAATAACATTAGGTTGTTACATGTGTTTGTCACTCTGTAGGCAGGTCAGTTTGGCTAGATGTTGTATCACAAGACTAGCTGAAGTGTTTCAGATGTTTGGTAGGTAAAACCGCTTGCATATGAATTTGTCAGGTGTTTCATTCTGGAGCATTGCCAAAAATATTTTTAAAAACGACGTTTTACTGCATCATAGGAACCTCATTATCTTATTGTCATATATGTAGTAGCAGCACCTTTGTGCTACCACATTTTCTATAGACTTTACAAACTTCTTATCTTTCTATTCTTATAATTATATGTGGCAGGGTACTTCTACATGCTGCCAAAAGGCAGATACAGTGGTACCTCTGTTCACAAACGCTTCTGTACGCGAACAGGAAGCTCAGCAAAATTTTGCTTCTGTTCGCGACCTCAGCTTCGGGTGACGAACACATCCGCAGCCATTTTCCCTGCTCTGACACATGGTCATGGCTTCCTCTAGTCAAGATCATGGTCTGATCAGTTTGATTCGGTTCACGACCAAATCGGTTCGCGACCAGAATCGCGGAACGAATTAAGTTCGTGAACCGAGGTACCACTGTATCTGCACTTTAGACATACAGTTTGCATCCTTTGGTACTGACGCACTGAATGCAGATTTCTCTATAGGAAAACGCAAGTAGAAAAGTGGGTTTGTTTTTTCCTAGAAGTACCTGTGTGTCCCAATACCAGTACTTTTTGTGGATTTTACTTAACTGTGATATGTTGTTGTCTTCTGTCTGTTTTAACAAATAAAATCGATACGAAATGATGAACTTCTTCTGTGAATGTTTTGTTTTATTTTAATGTCCAGCTGTTAAGTAAAACCACGGCAGAAAAGGTGGAGTCGGTGAGGAATGATCATGGAGGTACTGTGAAAAAGCCTCAGATGAACAACAAACAGCAGAGACCCAACCAAAACGGCTGTCAGATACGTCGGCACTCTGGATCTGGAGCCACCCCTCCTGTCAAGGTGTGTAAGCAGTTATATTCTAAAGATGCTGCCAATTTTTTTTTCTTTTCTGCTTTTAAGGGTCTTTATGAGTTTTTCTCCTGGAATTCTTATTTCAGTTGTAAGTGAATGTTTGAATAATAAATCATATGCACTGCCACTGCTCATCTCCCTCTAAAAATGTTGGTTATCCGGCTTTAATAACTGCATGTAATCATATTACATGCGGTGTGCCGGCATTGACATGCAGCGGCTGTCACCTAATCATTAACATGAATGGGTGACAGTTGATCACCTGACCATTAACATGAATGGGTGACAGTTGCCACTTTTAACTGCACACATGAAACAATCCACTGCCGCACGTTCCAAGCCCCCCGCACACATGAAATAATCCACTCCCGCAACGTTCCAAGCTCCCCCCCCCCACACGCACATGATACAATACACTCCCGCAACGTTCCAAGACCCCTCCCCCCCGCACACATGAAACGGTACACTCCTGCAACGTTCCAAGCCCACACTTCCCCATCCCTCCAAGTGCCCCCACGCACACAAAAAAAATACACACATCCCCTCCTCCTCCGCCCCCTCACTTGCTTACATCTTTGCAGGGAGGAGGCAAGGAAGCACGATCCCTGGTGATCCAGTGGTTGATTAGTAAGGTCAGGTGCAGACCTTACTAATCCATCCTTTCGGCCGGCATTTAGTGAAGGATGTCAGAATGTTGGGTGAAAGGATCTGAGTGCTGGAACTGACAGGAGCAGCTATGCGGTCTGCATCTGACAAAGATGCAGACTGTGTAGCTGCTCCTGCAAGTCAGTACGTGGTCTGCGGTCCACATAGAACCGGTTTGCAGGCTGGAGTTGGTCCGTGGGTCAGTACTTTTGAGACCTCTGGATTATAAGGTTTCAGCTTGGTCCCATCAGACTCTACCTATAACTGAAATATTACATTTGTGTGAAGTTATGTGGTAAATGTCTTGAGTGGACCTTTAGAATGTACAAGGGTAATCCTTTCTCATTTTCTTGTCATTGACTGGTTACATTTTTATTTTGTCCTGCAGAAGAAGCCTAAGATACTTATCCCAAAGGATCAATCCTTGGCAGATGCAAACAAGCATGGCGCAGGGGCAGAATCACAGTTTTTTGATAAGGTGAATGAAGATTTTCTTCAGACTATTTCTGCTTTTTGAAAAACATTGTCTTGTTCTTCATTTCTGAATGATGCAGTTATATATACTTGGTATATTACTTCTGAATTTGATGCCGTGGAAGCATTGTCTAGACTGTAAAGCAAGGAGGAGGCTTTTTTCAATGGACAACCCTGTCTTGGATTTCTTTTAGCGTATACACTTGTAGTTAGATAAGTCACACAATCGTTTTCCATTCCTTACATTTTGAAAAGTTAACATCAGTTTGTTGAGTTATTTCTTGTAACCTGTTACCTTTTATAGGTACGCAAAGCTCTTCGGAGTGCAGAGGCGTATGATAATTTCCTGCGGTGTCTAGTGATCTTCAATCAGGAGGTCATCTCTCGGTCGGAACTGGTGCAGTTGGTTTCTCCTTTTCTTGCGTAAGTTTCTAACATCCTAAGTAATCTTTTCTTTGCTGTTTTAATGATGTGTGCAAGAAAAAAAAAAAACCCTACACATCTTCTAAATGAATTGTGAATGTTCTCTCATATACAGTGACTTGAGTAAGTGTTTGTGGTCTTGTTGCTTAACCAATATATGATGTGTTGAGTACGGGGGAAATAAGGAACTTGTACCCAATGGAAACTGTGTTTTTATTCCCTTTGGTTGATGTAAGGTAACAGTCTTCATATAGTGTAGATGATGGGATCATATTATAGTTCATGGGTAGGCAACCTTGGCACTCCAGCTATGGTGAAGTTACAAATCCCGTGAGGCATTACAAGGATTTGACAGCCACATGCATGACTCAGAGGCAGATGCATTATGGGATTTGTAGTTTACCACAGCTGCTGTCTCAAGGTTGTCTACCCCTAGTACAGTTCCATACAGGGGAAAGCAGTATAGTTAAATGGCCTCAGATGCAGCACATCTTTTCCCTTCACAGTTGCTGGAAGGGAGCATAAGACTCATGGGGGCAGAATTATGCCCCTTTAAGCAGGGAATCCTTTCTTTGCTTTTAGTGATGGGGAACAAAGAAAAGATGAGTATGTGTTGCTGCATTTAAAGTAAACCTGATTTACCCATTGTGGACTATAGTCGCTTTGAATGTTTAAATGTGTTCAGGAAAGAAAAATGTTTTTGCTCAGTCGTTAAAACACCACAGTTATTTATGACCCTTTGTGTTGGTACTTTTTATGAACAGGAAATTTCCTGAGTTGTTCACTTGGTTTAAAAACTTCTTGGGTTACAAGGAGTCTACACACATGGAAAGCTTCCCAAAAGAGCGGAATACGGAAGGTATTGCCATGGAGATTGACTATGCGTCATGCAAACGCTTGGGCTCTAGCTATAGAGCGCTGCCAAAAAGCTTCCAACAGCCCAAGTGCACGGGAAGAACGCCGCTCTGCAAAGAGGTGAGGAATATAACTTATACGAATGTCCATTTTTAATGTGGTTGCTTTGTGTGACGATGTAAACATTGCTTATATGATCGTGTAAATCTATAGCTGATGCATCACTGAAAACTGTGTCTTGTGAAAGTTTGCGTTTTTGAACAATCGGTCTATTCTCGTGTTAGTGAATTTCAATGAAAACTGCAGCCACAGAGGAATGGTATCATACTAACTGATGGCATCTAGACCAATATAAAGGAAAGCGTAAATAAAAATTTGTATTTGACATAAAATCTACCTAGATGATTAGGTTGATATCCCCAAAGTATGAACAAACAGCCTCATGAAGGAAAATTTACTTGTGCCTCCAGTATATCTACCATACCATGTTGAAAGTTGCCACAGAGTAGTTGGTTGCTTAGTGTTGAACGCTAATGATTTGCAGACTTCAGGCCCCAGAGACACTTATCTGCTTGGTGTTTTCTGTTTTCCTCTTGATTGTTTTGGCCTCCTTTCTGTAGCTACAAATCAAGGGACCTTTATGACAAAAGCCCTCCACCGAATAAGCAGCTTGGAAAATGTCATGTAGAGAGACTTCCCGGGGAATAAACACTGCCAAGGGGGTAGCAGAGCTGCATGGAGAGTCTTTATATCCTAGAGAAAACAACTAGGAGACTGTCCTGGAGAAGAGGCTGCGTGGAAAATGTGATTTAACTGGAGAGAGTGTGACAGAGAGACTGTCCTACACAGTCTGCGACTGCCTTGGAGAAAGGCTGCCCTGGAGAGAAAATGTTCCTATTGCTGACTTTTTGTAAAGAGTAGTCAATGGCTAAAACCCATGTCGGTGTTTTTCATTTTCTTTTTTTTTGGATTTTCCGTTCAAGAGATTTCCCTTGACTTCCTGTCCTGTAGAGGTTAGAAGTAAATGGGTAATTTTATATTTAACTGTTTGAATTAAAAATTTGATGCTACGATTCCATGCCCCCTGCTCTGTGCTCAATCGGAGCTATGTGGGCTGCAATGGCCTGGGTTTCACCCTTTTTTCCCCAAGTGCTCCAATTTCCTTTCACAATCCAAAAACATGGTAGTAGGTTTATTGGCTTCCATGCAAAATTGGCCTTCAATTGAATTTTATATTAATTAGATGATGTTGATCAATGTGAATAGTTTGTTCTTGGTAGCGTGTAAATATATAAAGTAACTTGGTGACATAATTATGCCCTGTTTTGCCTTTCTGCACAGGTCCTGAATGACACGTGGGTTTCCTTTCCCTCTTGGTCAGAAGACTCCACCTTTGTTAGTTCTAAAAAGACGCAGTATGAGGAGCACATCTACCGCTGTGAGGATGAGCGGTTTGAGGTAAGGATACATTTGTTTTGTTTTTCTTTTTTAAAAAGTCACTTACTACCTTTTGTTTAAACTGGGGATTCACTTTTTGATTGTATGCAATGCAGATTGACTTCATATCTGAAGAAATTACAGGGGCCTTGTAGCCAGTGCTTGAACAACTCCTTATTTTTGGCACTTTTTCTCTTAATGAAACATGGCTTCTGGTTCTTAACATGGCCTGTTGACTCCTATATGTTGCTGACAACCTCCTGCCCTCTAAGTTGTTCTTTCTACTCTTCAGTGATACATATGTGTGTTTTTTTTGTTTTTTTTTCTCAGCTGGATGTTGTATTGGAAACCAATCTGGCTACTATCAGAGTACTAGAGGCCATTCAGAAGAAGCTTTCGAGGTTATCTGCTGAGGACCAGGCTAAGTTTCGTTTAGACAACACTCTAGGAGGAACATCCGAAGTCATACATCGGAAGGCTCTACAGAGGATATACGCTGACAAGGCTGCTGACATTATAGATGGCCTTAAGAAAAACCCAGCTGTTGCCGTCCCAATTGTATTGAAGAGGTTAGTGCATTGTAGGTGATGTGGCTGTTTTGCCTTATTTGCTCTGTATGCAAATACCTGAGAATTCTCAGTTGCTTTCATCCTCAATTCTGGTTTGTTCCTTCTATGTAAACCACTTGTTTTTTGGTCTTCGCCCTATATTTCACTCTGCTGCTTTTGCATTACCTTTATTTGAGTTGCCTCTGATCAGTCTTCTAATGCCATTGTTGCCTGAAGGTTGAAAATGAAGGAAGAGGAATGGAGGGAAGCACAACGAGGCTTCAATAAGATATGGCGGGAGCAAAATGAAAAGTACTACCTGAAATCTCTAGACCACCAGGGTATAAACTATAAACAGATTGACACAAAGATTCTGCGCTCAAAGAGTCTGCTAAATGAGATCGAAAGCATCTATGATGAGGTAAGCATACGGTTATCCCCCATTTGTTTGCCCAATGCAGCAGTCAGATATATCATGTAACTTCTGCTGGTTTTAGATGGGAAAACTCCCATATCTTTTTATAAGGAATAATCCTTATGAAAACATGGAACCAACCAACAAGCAAGTACAATTGCGAAAGTCACCTCAAAAACTAACTTGTAAAGTTGTATATATTTCCTTGTAAGTAGAACTGTGAGTAAAATACATTTCATAGCATGTATCATTGTTTACTGGTATCTGCATATCGTTTAGAGAATAAATGACGTTCCATAAAGTAGATTTGGGCCAGTGCAGACAGACCTAGTACTGCTGCATGCTCTCAACATGAATTGGCAATTTCACACAATGCATTTCTATAAAGGACTGGTCCTTTCTCTGTTCTCAAAATGTTTTGAATGGGAAATAGCACTCGGCTGATTTCAGCCACACAATGCAGGTACAGCTGTAATTTCTATTCAGAATGATAAATACCTGTATGGCTGTGGCTCCTAATTGGAATGATAAATACCATCTATATGTAATATACAATATGAAATGTACTGGTATGCTTATGATCAATCTTTGGCTTTCATTGAGCATTTTCAGAGATGCACAAGGCCTCTGACCATCTAATTGCTGATTTTTGTCTTTGACAGCGGCAAGAGCAGGCATCCGAGGACAATTCTGGAGTCCCCACAGGACCTCATCTCACACTGATGTATGAGGACAAACAGATACTGGAAGATGCAGCTTCTCTTATCATCCACCATGTGAAAAGACAGACTGGTATTCAGAAGGAAGACAAATATAAGATTAAACAGATAGTTTATCATTTTATCCCTGACCTTCTGTTTGCCCAGCGAGGAGAGCTGTCTGACGTTGAGGAGGAAGAAGAGGAACAGACAGATGAAACGGAGGATGGGGTTATCAAGAAACACAATGGGGTGGGGGGAGGCGGGGGCAGTAGTCCACCAAAAGCCAAGCTGCTGTTTGGAAACTCCGCAGCGCAGAAGTTTAGGGGCATGGAAGACGCTTACAACTTGTTTTATGTTAACAATAACTGGTACATCTTCCTGCGTCTGCACCAGATACTCTGTTCCCGCCTCCTGCGCATTTATAACCAAGCAGAGAAACAGGTGGAAGAGGAGATGAGGGAACGGGAATGGGAAAGAGAGGTACTCGGGCTGAAGAGGGACAAGAATGACAGCCCTGCCATTCAGTTGCGACTGAAAGAGCCAAGTAAGTAAAATGTGGTGCGTCAGATTTTGAGACGGTTAAATCGTTAAAGGACTGGGATTTGTGGTTCCTCTACTCGTTGCCCCCATGTCGATGCCTAGCTTTTATGCTCTATTTCTAATCCCTGAATAATGTGATCACCAAATATTTTAAACTTGGATATATTTAAAGCTATACTCCAGACAGAATACGAAATGAATATATAGAAGGTGTTTTGTTTGGCAAAAGATTTATATTTGTGTCCTGAGGTTCACACAGCCCTGCCAGACAGACTTCTCTCTTCTGCAGCTAAGCAGTAATGTTTGGTCACCTCCCTGCCCTTAGTCTGCGATTGGATAGTGAAGGAGCAGTAGCAGTTCACCCCTCTGCTCTCACTGCTCTCCTTCTGTCAGCAAATGTGCATGCAGTATACCTTTTTGGCTCCTATTGACGCCCCTTCCTATGCCTTTCTGTGTTGCTGTACAGGGAATAACAGGGGGCTAATACTAAATCAAATCCAGGTTCTTGCGCTAACCACGTGTAAAATATTTAATTGTTTTCTGTTGACTATTTAACTACATTAGCTGGGATTTCTCAATATAAGCCTGGATTTCAGAATAAAGTTCTTAATCTGATATAAGGCGTTAGAAGTGGGCACTTGGAGGTTTGGCCTGAACATGCTGTTACCCCCCGGGCACTTTAAATGCAGATTTTCATCTTCCAGCTCAGAGTTGTGAGCTCTAGCATGTCACCCTAAAATGTGCACCTTTTAATATTTTATGAAGTGATATGTAATGCATTAAAGAATGGTTGGGGATGGATGGCAAAGCTGACATTCAACCAGGAGTGTCCATCTGCATATTGAGCACCCTGGCTTCAGTGTGTTTACTGGCAGATCTAGGTACCTGTTTGATTGCGTATGTTTTTCATGATATTTCTGTATACAGTAGAATTCTTCCTGCTCTATAGAGTTCAATTGCCTGTTGCAAACAATCTGAGTTTTTTGAGTTGGGAAATTCTGCAAATAACTGTTCCAGGTTATGTACATCTGCCCCATAAGTGGAACTACATCCTCCTTTCCCTTTAAAGCCAAGGAAGGGGCCATCTTAGCCTCTATTTGGATAGCAGTTGCCATGGTGCCGCACATGTAATCAGCTATGACACCAGCCATGTGAGGGCTTGCAAATTTTGGTTGAGATCTGAAATAAGCACACTGGCAACCTTGACAGTTGGCATGCCTTAAAGGTAACTGTTTTGGAAGGCATTTTAATTGGTGGGTTAAGTTCATCTTTAAGGACACACAATTCTGTACCTTTTTAGTTTGTTTCATACATCTGGTCTTATGGTAAGAAACACTGCTCAATATTAAGTGATTTTTACAGTTTACAACCAATCTAACAGAGGAACTTTTTTTTTTTTAAATGTCTTTATATTCATTAAAAATGTGTATATGTACAGTGTCATTTATTACCTGTATATTTTGATAAGCATGTGTTTATACAACTTGTTCTACAGTGGACATAGAGGCTGTGGATTATTACCCAGCATTCCTAGACATGGTTCGGAACCTGCTGGACGGGAATATGGACGCGAACCAATATGAAGACTCCCTGCGGGAGATGTTTACCATCCATGCCTTCATTGCCTTTACTATGGATAAGCTGATCCAGAGCATAGTCAGGCAGGTGAGTGCTGGCAGAATGTATTTCTGTCACATGAGGGGATTATGGTCACTTAAAATAAAATCACTCACAACTTTCCGCTTTGTCTAAGCCATGTTGGATTTGCTGTGCACCTGTTTCCAGCTCTGCGTTGTAAGTTATGATGCATGGTCATGCCCAGTACTCAACAAAAGCGGGTCTAGGCCTTGTTTTGTCACATTCGTGGGATGATAAAAAATTGTCTCTTTTTTTATATATAGCAAAGTGTCTGCCAATCAGTCTGTCTGCATTTTGCTCAGGGGTGTCATCAACAAGTAAAACTGTAACTATAGCTCTTGTTTTTTTACAAGACATGTACCAGGGTGGTTCTGCCAGCCTTCCAATGGTTGATGTCCATTCTAGGTTGCAGAATCCCTAGGATAGTATTGGTTTCATCAGATGTCAGGAAAAGTTTAAGTATCTTTTCCCTAATATTCGTTATAATGACCTCTCCTAACGATAGAGGTGTATATACTACCAAGTGTTATGTTGTCATCGGTTTGAAATTGAGCAAAAATAGCTGCAATTGTTCACCCATCTCCTGTCCCTTTCACTGCATTAAGCTGGGGATGTGGTAGTGAATGTGATCAGTCACTTTTCTATATCCCCAGCCAGCATGTTCTAATCAAGGAATGTGACCTATTGACCTCGGCTGTGAGATTTTGATGGGTACATAGTTACTCGGTCAAGTCTTGTACATTATTATTGACATTTGTTGAAATTTTGATGAAGTGTCACGTAAACGTGCTGTAAGTTTTTTTGTTTTGTTGTTGATAAATGCATGATGCAGTCTCATTTTACCCTCGGAAATTGAAAGTGTATTAGTCGGCCATCCTTTAGCTTTCGTCTGTTTGGCTGCAGTAATAATGTGTCGGAGTAGTTTAGTTTTGGCTTTTCGCAAGACCAGCAGTCAGATAATCGGGTTCAGCAATATAGATGACCCGTATGGGATCAAGCGTAATCCAAAAGCCTTTTCCAAAAATTTGTGAACCACCATACATTCCCACCAAATGCGAATATAAGTACCCCAGCAAAAGAAAACATTGTCCAGCGACATAATGGCGTAGGCAAGTAGGTACTAAATACCATCTATAGAGTATTTTATAATTCGTTTCAAGGGCTTGAGCATTCTGTGAACAAGATTTGGTTGCATCCCAAATGGCAGTCCACATATTAGTATCATTAGAGAATTGTAGACGGCTTTCCCATTTTTGCGTTACACCTCACACAACCAGAAACAAAGTAAACGTGCCTACTTCAGTAACAAGCGGACCATTTCCTGCTGGGTGGAGCTTACACAAAAAGAAACCAGAGCCAAGGCTGCTTATCAAATTGCAAATACCACAAAAATAATTCTACGTGACTTAGGGCTAGTTCACACCAAGCGTGGTCCAGGAGCAGAGCAGTTACAGACCGGATCAAAACAGGTCGGCTAGAACTATGAGGTGAGTGAAAAGCACTCACCTCATAGTTCTCCTTTTAAGTTACAAAAAAAAATGCTAACAATGACTGTTCTGGTAGTGTGCAAAACATGCACTGCCACAATGCTCTAGTGAAGGGGCCCTAAGTGGAATGGCTTTACATTTGGGGAAAGCAGAGGTACAGGGATGTTCAGGCATCTATAAGTACTGGCAGGTTAATAGTGACAGCCACTTTAACAGTTTAAGAGAGAACTATGGGCCAAACATTTGTTGCCATAGTTCCCTTAAGGGTCACAGGAGGACATGTTCTTGTGACCCAAAACTCAGCATATACAGCGGACTATTTCAGAACCACGCTGCAGCTGGGGCGGATCCTCAGAATATTCTCGGTATCCACCCTACTGCCTTATTGACAGCTGGCTCTGCCCACCTCCTCCATCCGTTCCTCCAGGCGGCACGGGAGAAGTAGAGGGGGGAATCCCTTCAGGTAGTGGTGACTGACATCCGGCACTCTCTGCAGGTAGAAGATTAGGAACTGAGCGGTATGTTGTGAATCAGTTCCCGATCAATAGAACCGGTGTGTAAGTGTATTGTCCCTCTCCCCATAATTCTCCTTTAATACAGACTATATTCACATTGCTTTCAGCTTTGTACAGAATTATGGATCCTGAAGTTATTACAAATTTGTCACGATGCTGTTTTGTTTCAGCATTAGGTATGCAGATTTTTATTGATTTAAAATACCAGAAGTTTAGGACGCAATAAAAGCAGTAAGCCCAGAACATGTGCAATGTCTTCGTGTATGTCTTGGTTCTTACATTTCAAAAGATTTAAAGTTGATGACCTTCACTGTCTAGGGTATTAGGATGGTACACCCTCTCATTAATATTGAAGTAACACTATGGACCTTTTTCCTGTAGCTCCAGCACATAGTCAGTGATGAAATCTGTGTCCAAGTGACTGATCTCTACCTCTCGGAGAGCAGCTGCAATGCCACAGGAGGTCTCCTAGCTACCCAAGCATCACGCAGCCTGATTGAAGCCAACTACCAGCGAAAGTCTGAACAGCTGATGTCAGATGAGAACTGTTTCAAGGTAAGGGGCTTGGCCTGTTCCTCCAGTATTAGGATCTGACCATTAAAACAAACAAATATCCCAGAAGCGCTGGAGGGGGTCGCTTCCATAGGTAAGTCTGCCATAATATGCTGGCACATCATGGCTTACAGTTCCTGGGGCCCATGTTTTTTATTTATTAGCAGATTACTTATGCTAAACTGCAGGTAAAATTAAAAATAACCCTTGCAGTGGGGCTTCCCTGCACTGCAAGGGTTAAATGCATTTTATTTTATTTTTTTATCTGAAGGCAACCAAAAAATACGTTTTTGTTGCAATATTCCCTTGCTGCCCCAGCAGTCTGTGCTCTCTGAAGTGTTCGGTTGTGAGCAGACCCTCAGCATCCTCGCTTACAACGTTGGACTGCTGGTCCTTCATTGTATGTGATGACATCAGAGTGCTTGCAACCCACAGGAACCAGCGGCAGAACTGGGGGGGATATATATATTATTGTGTGTGTGTACTGATATTTTGTTTTTTTCGGTACTCGCTGATACTGAGTACCGGTGCATTGTGCCCCGATTATCAGAAAGTCAGGCGGCGGATCATGACCCACCGCTCAGCTTCCTGATTGCCTGTGAAGCCGGTATTCTAGCAAAAGAACACTGGCTTCCTGACCAATCGGGAAACCTGGCGGCAAGTCATGAGGTGCCATCCGGCTTCCTGATTGGTCAGGAAGCAAGGCTGCCTAGCAACAAGTGAAGCGGCTTCCTAGCCAATCAGGAATAATATAAATTATACAGCTAGTTGGGAGATTCCTAGATGCGGGTGGGCGTGTTAAACGTATACGAGGCGGCGTTCACGAGCTGGAAACTCAAAATTTCAAACAGCCAGTAATGGCACATGGCTTGTGTGTTGTGCCGTTTCCTTTCCCTCCAGATCTCTGCTTCATTAGCTTCTACGGTGGTCCCTAGGAGACATTAGGGGTCTTAAAGACCCCTGATGTCTCCATGAAGAGGACATGGCACTGTCATCTGATATCTCATAAGGGGCTTCTTAGCCCCCAATGAGAGAACAATAAAGTTAAAGGAGAACTATGAGGTGAGTGATTTTCACTCACCTCATAGTTCTAGCCGACCTGTGACAATGAGACTGTCACAGGTCGGCTCAGTAGATCGGGAGGTGAGCGAACACATACCAGGTTCGCTCACCTCTCGATCCTGTCACGGCTCTCTGCCGTGACAGGGGAGGGACTGGATTCCCCTCTCCCCGCTCCGATCTGCCAGCGCTGACTGGCTGAACGGACGGGGGAGGGGGCGGGTACAGCTGGCTCTGCCTCTAGATAGGCAGAGCCAGCTGTCACTCACGCAGCTGGGCGGATCCCGTCATCTACGTCGGGATCCGCTCCGGCTGCGGCGTCTCAGTATACCGCGAGCTGTAGCTTGCGGTATACTGAGCTTAGGGTAACGGGAGGACGCTAGTTTGTGTCCTCCCGTTACCCTAAGGAGAACTATGGGGGAAAACACTGACCCCATAGTTCTCCTTTTTAAGAGTGTAAAAAAAAAAAAAAAAAAAGTCCCCCACATACATACTCAAACATGCGTCAGTTGTGCTTACGTGCGAAAATGACGATTGCGCCCATTAAGCCACATGTTAATAATCACTGTGAATGCCAGAGTGAGAGCAATAATTTTAGGACCATCAATCACTGATAACACTAAACTGATGATCGGTAAAAGCTTTTAAAGCGTCGCCTATGGCCAATTTCGGAAAGGTAGTTTTTTTGCGATTTCGCTTGCGCATGCTATTTTAAGACTTGACATGTTTGGTGTCTGTCTAACCAGTGTGACCCCATTTTTTATATTCTACCAAAAAAATGGCCAATAAAGGTTTTTTAACCCAATGTAGGAAAAACTTTGTTTTTTCAAAATTTTCGGTACTTTTTTCTTTATATAGTAAAAAATAAAAACTCCAGTGTTGATTAAATATCACCAAAAGAAAGCTCTGTGTGTCGAATGGTAAAAAAAGTCATTTCAGTATAGCGTTGCATGATGGAATAAATGTCAAAGTACTGCAGCGCTGAATACTGAAAAATGGCCTGGCCAGGAAGGGGGTGTAAACACCCCGGTCATCAAGTGGTTAATTGGTCCTGCAGAGTTCTATGAGTGCTATTTCCTTTAAACAATGATTGTCACTAGAAGAAGCTGGCATTGATAATAACCAGTCCTTTGTAAGACTAGGTAACAGCGCCTCAAATGTCTTCTGATTTCCCAGTATTGAGGAAGTATTTGTTTCTCCATACTAGTGACAGAGAAAACTTTGTAGCAGGAAATCTAAGAATATTGTTGCATTGGTGATGAATGTCTTTACCTTTTAAATGTCAGTCCACCCAGAAGTGATATTTCATTTAGTCAGCCCTAGCTTCTTCTATGTCTGGGATTCTCCCAAGAAAGACATATGCCTGACTCTGGTCCTGTCTACTTTGGGAGTTTTGGGTGTTCACCTACTTTTGTATGTTCAGCAGCTCCAACAAGAAAAGTGGGGACCGTCCATTAACCCCTTCATGACTGAGGCCTTTTTTATCTTCATTTTTTGCACCCATGTTATATTCTGCATTTTAGGCCTGAAAATACTTAAAACCCTCAAAACATTATATATTTTCTGAAAGCCGGGACCCTATTGAATAAAATGGGGGACAGTTGCAAATTTTTATGTTGCACGATATTAGCGCAACTCCTTTATCAAACCCCAACATTTAGTGAAAAATGTACTTCAATGCCCCAAAACACAATAAAATACAAATTGTTTAATAAAATATAAAAGATGAGGTTACAACAAGTAAATTGATACCCAACATGCCCAGGTTAAAAATTGTTTGCGTCCGTGACAAACTTCAGTACCCCAAAAAGTCCATAGACGGCGCTTTAAAAGCCCCCACAGGCCATCAATTTAGAGGTACCCAAAAATACTGGCCCTAGAATTATTGCTTTCACTCCGGCGTGCGCGGCGATACCTAACGTGTGTAGCGCGTCCGTTGTTTACATATGTAGGCACACCTGACGCGTGTTTTATGTGGCAACACGAGGGGCACTTAAATCTAAAAATAATTATACATACATTTTTTTTTTTATTTCATTTTAATTTTAAAAACTTTTTTTTGATTGCTATGACATAGGGGGGGCTTACAAATCCCCCCATGTGATGGCAGATGGTGGTGTCAGGTACTCTTTAAGGTGATGCTGGGGGTCCAAAGACCCCCAGTGTCACCTTTTACACTCCAAATAAGCTATTGAAGTGCAGATCGCACTTCAATAGCTGGGCTTCAGGAGCCCCGCACTGACAGCTATGGGACCGGAAGCGATGCAGATGAACAGGGAGGGGATCGACGACGGGCCCGTAGGATGGGCAACGGAGCCCGGGAAGCACGGCGGGGGTGTCAAGTGGGGGGGACCCCTTCACCGGGCCATAGAAGCGATTTGGCGACAGCTGAGTCGCCAGAATCGTTTCTGTTGTAAAGCCCACACAAGTTTACACAGAGTCCCGGTCTGTTTAAACAGCCCCGATGCTGGCGACGTACACTGTACGTCGTCAGCCGTGAAGGGGTTGAGGCTGTGCCAAGAGATCTAGGAAACTGTCAGGTTGTTTAGCTCTCCAGCATTTACCATAAACTGAAATCCGTTTTGCATGGACTGACCCTGTCATTAAAGAAACTGATTAATAATCTGTTTTCCCCACTGACTGACTGATGTTGTTGTTTTTTCTTTTTGCAGTTGGTGTTCACCCAGAGCTGCGGCCAGGTCCAATTAACAATTGAATTGCTGGACACTGAGGAAGAAAACTCAGATGACCCAGCGGAGACCGAGGTAAGCCCGACTCGTGCCTGAGGGGCTCTCGGTTACCGCCACCCCAGGCAGGACCCCAACCTCCAGGACCCCCCTGGGGGATGGGTCACAGGGGGGGGATGTGTGAAAACAAACCTAGAAAATCCACCTTCTGAGATCAAATCACAGCCCACCCCGGTCAGACTAAACCTGCAGTGCGTGTACTGTCTGAATCTCTTTTTATAGAACTGTACATAATGTTGCCCATCTGTGGTTTGTTACTGAATCCAGAAAAGACAAACTTCTCAAAAAAATATCCAAACATTTTGGAGCCAGAATTAAATTGTAATATAATAAACTTGTTTTAACGATCCCGGGTGACTCAGTGATTTGTTCTGTTTTCTCTTTTACTTTCCATGCCTTTCCTTTCCATTCTTGTATCTCTTCCTAAATGTACTAATATTCTTCCTCTGTCCTTAACCAGTGGAAACAACGAGGCTTTAGAATGTGTAGCTGTCATTAGTGGATAGAGTTTAAAGGTGTTTTTCAGTGAAATGTTACATATTCTTTAATAACATGAATAACCCACTATCAACAGCGGGGTCTGTGTTTGTTGAGACTGTCTGGCTGAGAAGGCTCTTCTCAAATCCTCTTTGGATAAAATAGGGGCACATTATTTGAGTGAAACAACTTCACCAGGTAAAATGTCCCCAATACTTGCAGACACTGGGGGTTCCCACCATAAAAGAATAAGCTAAATATTTTGTATTCCTTTAGAGACACTGTCACTTTGTCCATTGAGAGCAAAGTGACAGTGCCTGCCAATTGCCTAGCCCCCCCTCCCCAGCAAGTTATGTTTTCTAATGCCCATGTATTTACTGCCTAGCAGCTCAATTGGAGCCCTAGTTTTATTGTATGGACTTTCATGTGTGGGAGAGCATGTGACAGTGCTTGGGCCAATCACCACGTTCAAACACGTGACGTGGGGCTGAGAAGTAAAGTTGTTCAAGCGGGTAAGCTCCAAACCCGGAACTTGCCCAATGTGGACTCTGGTCGCTAGAAGGCGGTGATGGAGCGTGGATCCGTGAGTATGCCTTGAAAGCGGATGGGCTATCAACAGACACTGTCCTTTCAAAGTAAAGTGACAAGGTCTCTCTGAGGCTAGAAAACGTGTTTGTTTGTTTTTAATCTCTAAGGTTATTATTATTTTGTTTGTTTTTTAAAATGTATGTTATATGCTTTACCTGTTTTAGCACTAATAAGACCTAACATTTTATACAGTATATTGGAGGATGTAAGCTCACATCTCTTATCCAGTTAGAAGGCCACTTGCTTAGAGTGTAATTGTTAGGGATGTTCAGATACCAGTGCCGATACTTGGCATTTTCATGAGAACTACCAGGGTTGCAGCGGTTGCAGTGGGGACCTGGCTCTGGCGCTCCACCACTGTCCTGAAATCATTAGTCTGTATAGTTTTAGAAAAACTGTCACATGACAATAAACAAAAATGTGTGAGTACTTGTACAAGTATCAGTACTTGTACTTGAAAAAATGGTATCGGTGCATCTCTTATTTATATTTATAAAACAAAAATCATACATTAAAACGGGAATGCACAAATCCCAGGAGCTCCGTGTGCTCCTTACAAATGACAGCTGCCTCCTAACTTTTGAGTTATTCTCTAGTCTAGTCTTGGAGCTGGAAAAGTATCTGTACTTGTACCGAGTACGGTACTTGGTATCTGAACATCCCTAGTAATTGTTAATCAACTCTTAAACATAGTTGATACCAAGTATGTTTCTGTATTTGGCAATCTAGGTATTGTAATGAAATGGTAAAACAAAAGAGCATCATGTCCACAACTTGTAAGGAGGAGACCTTCCAGTTCTTTTGCGGGATATGTGTTCTAGATGGAATATTCTCTGATTAGCTACTTCACTTAGAAATCAGACCCTATAATTCTCTACAATGATGTGGCATTTATAGATAAAAACCATAAGGATCATTAGAAATCATGTTCATTGGAGGACAAAACAGGAAATATTCATTATCTGTATGTCAGTAGAAATGGTTCAAGAAACTTGTGCACACTGGTAATGTTTAGGCACACTACAGTGTACAAAACCTTTTCATTGAGGTACTCACTAAAGGGCCCTTTTCATGTCCTTGAAAAACCCACTTTCCTGTGCTGAGCTTCTGCAGGTCTTAATTTATCTCTGTAGTCAGTTCTTCTGGCCGTCTGTGTGGCTCCATCCATGTCTGTGATAAACGGAGGTTACTGCAGGTCTGTTAATGTGGCTGACCAGAGATGCAGTTTCTATATTTTTGGTCCTCTGATTTGTGGATCTGCATCAACATGCCCTATGTTGTGGTAACTATCATGGAGATGCATGATAGTCTGCTGTCAAATCTGGGACAGGAGAGCCGGTGTGACATATTCATGTCCATCTAAGGGCACCCTATGATTTAGCCTTTATGCTCAGTAGCTTTTGTATATTGCTAGATGTTTAAAGTAAACCTGTCATGAGATAAATATGGGGCATGTCATTGTCGGTCTTAGAGAAATTCTAGTTAGCATGCAATTGTTTTCCCTCTGGCTTCAGTACTTTTTTGAGCTACTGACGCTGCATCAACAGATCAGAAAAGTCAGACGTCCTTATCTGCATTTTCAGGAGGACAGTTAGTTAATGGCAGCTGCCATGTTTACCCCATGACAGAGCACTTTGTGAAATTTAAAGGAAGCAGCTATTCACTTTATAGTATGCCGTTGTCATTTGCAGAACAGACGCCACCTTGTGGCTTCCTCTGGATCTCACAGAGCATGTTGAATGCAGATACACAAGGAATTTACCACATTAAAGGTCTGGCTCATGAGGATCTAGTTTTCTGTGCAAACAAAATATTAGTGGATCAGTCGATAAAGGTTCCACATTTATATAGCGATCTTACTCTCCACTTTGTACACAATGTAAGAAATCTTTATTGTAAATGAATATGATATGTTGAATTTATCTTGTTAGTGGTCTTTGCAGCATACTGGTGGAGTGTTGCAGGTGGATCCTCGGATACCTGCATGGTGCCGTCCTTTTTCACACCTAAAAACGTCAATGCATGCTCTCGGTATACACAAATTCTTAGTCTGTAGGGTACCCTTGTCAGCAGTGTATCCATTGCAGTATTTGTAATGACTTAAAGTGACATTAAAGGCTAATTCCCTTCTCCCATTGTTAGTATAAGGACTTACCTTAAATCCTGCCTCTTAATCCGATCATCTTCTTCTTTAGTGTAGTCCCTCCAGCGCTGGTGCGGGTCTCTGATCCAGCACAGACTCCTCCTCTCCTCTGATCTCCCATGGAGTCTGTCAGGGTGCACACTGCTCCATAGACTTACCTTGTGTGTCTCCTCGTCTCCCGGCCGAACATCTGAAGTGCGCATGCGCCCGCCCCAGGATCCTTTGCGGCCGCCCGAGACTCTTCACATGTTTGGACGGGAGCGCACGGCGAAGACACAGGTACGTTTTTAAACCTGTTTGAAAGGTTTTTTGTTTGTTTTTTTAAAAACGTTTTTGCATATATCTACTGTTTGTTAGCAGTAGATGTATGCAAAAAATGCTGAGGGTTTATTAACCCTTTAATCTGTTTCCCAGGTATTTGAATGTGCCTCAATCAGTATTTTATAACGCGCCATATTTCACGCCAGGTTCACCCAAACAGTAATCTCCCTGGTGTAAGTGTACTGGCCTGTGCACTCAAAAGTAGACCACTTGCAACCAACGTCCCTGAAAGATACAAGAAACTGCTTGGTGTTCTTACATCTCCAGCTTCTTCCAAACAATTGTGTATATCTATTATAAATGTAGTGACCTTTAAAACAGATATGCAGTTATATAACTTTACACAATTTTATTAATGTGTAGTGAAAGTGAGCCCAAGACCATCACTTAAAACCTGGACCATTTCCTGTAATAAGGCTAATTGTGTGCTGGTCCCGTGGCTGGTCATGTGACCAGTGCCAGGGTATTTGTCCTGCGATACATTAGAAGACTATTCCGATAGATCTACTGCCTGGGTAGTTCTACATGACTTGTCTCCTAGTGTTGGTCCTCCACATCATTTGCTTTTGCAAACACTGTAGGCCAAGGCTCCAGACTGATGCCGGATTTCTCTTTTTACAGAAAAGGCAAAACTTTTTAGGCTATCACGCATACTACTAAAATGTCAGTGTGCGACTATGATTTCTGTAACGTATTCTGAACAAAGGTGATCTGATTACTTTGTTGTGACCACAATCCCAATCATTGGCCCTTTCCTGCTATAAATTTCACCTCCTTGTAGATGTTGAATGGAAAGGGTTTTGTTTTGTTTGACACTCAATTGATCTACTCCCTTCTCCATTTACTTAAAGTGACATTAAAGTCAACTTTTTTCCCTCCCCCAATGTTAATTAAAGCACTTACCTTAAATGGTGTCTCTTAATCCGACCTTCCTCTTCTTTCCTGTCCTTTTCAGCCTTCTCTCCCAGCGCTGCGGCGGGTCTCCGATTTAGCGCTGACTCCTCTGTCCATCCTGGCACTTCCTGTCCCACGGTGTCTGCATGCGGGTGCACACGTCCATAGACTTACCTTGTGTCTCTCCTCGTCTCCCGGCTGAAAATCCAAATTGCGCCCGCCCCAAGATGCTTTGCGGCCACCCAAGGATTTTCGGACGGGAGCGCGCGGTGAAGACAGGTAAGTTTAAACTGCTTTTTAAAGCGTTTTTTTTTTTTTTACTTTTTGCATATATCTACTGCTTGCTAGCCTCATATATATGCAAAATGCAAAAAAATGTGAGAGTTTAGAAACCTTTTAAGAGCCAGTCCAGGCCTGGAGATTCTGCATTTGTAGGGTTTTTATCACATGATGAGAGAGTGTAGAAAGTGAAGTCCATGTCACCATGTCCTCCGAAGACCAATAGTCATATGTTTGTGCATCAAAATATAATTAGTCTAAGGCAATCTGGATGAGGCGTCTGACATCTACTTGGGAGAGAGTTTTAGTTTTCTCAAATCTTGATTCATTTATTATTCTGAAGCCCATTGAAAAATATACAAATTTAAAATGGCCGCATACTGCTTTGTTAGAACTAAGACACAACACTGTGTAGAGTAAGAACAAACTATAAATCCTCCTTTTTTTTTAATTTAAAGATCTGTACTACCATGGACAATTCCTGGTTTGCCTGTATGGTAAATGCAGCCATGATGAGGAGATGGATCCTAACTGGTCACTTTTTTCTAAAACGTGACCTCCCACTTATGATTCACGCTCTTCTAGTTCTGTGATCAATACACCAAGCATAATAAACTTTGACTTGCAGTATTAACAACGATTATATGAATGGTGTTTTATGTGTCTGTTTCAGTCATTCGTTAAGATTCCTCTCATTGGAAGAAACTTGATTTCAGTGTGCTGCAAATAAGGTGTCTGCCAACAAGGGATCAATCTTTCACTAATAAGAGGTTACAATTGCTTGTGTAGCCCTATCCTATAGCTGAGAATGTTTACAATCTTAGCAGGAAGAGCTAAAGCAATTGACCCATTAATAAACCCTGTGCTCTGTCATTCTTTAGAACTATATATTGGCTTCTGATAGATGTGGCAAGGGCTGGATTTACACGTTCATGTTTTTGGACAGTTGAAATCAATGAAAATGCATTAAAATCCGTCAATGCACATAGATCATTTTAACATGCATTGAAGAGCATTTTGTTGTGTTTCTATTTATTTAATCATATCTGGGCAAAAGCACACAAGTGTGAATCCAACCTATGTGTTAGACACTAGCCATGCAGCTCTGGAGTTCTGGGCTCATTTGTTAACACATAATGGCAGCTAAATTGAGTTCAATTCAAATGTCCCCCTCATATGTATGTATGACTAGAAGTCCCTCTGGGGGTACTGATGTGAATGGCCCGGTGCTGTGCTAGTGTGTATATATGACGCTTCATATATACACACTAGCACAGCACCGGGCCATTCACATCAGTACCCCCAGAGATAATGTAGATACATACCCACAATGATCAATAAACAAAATATTGTCCACAGATCTACCACCCATCTGTGTATTTCTACACCTTCCACCATCTACTCTTCTAGATTATCATTGCTTCCGTGGCCAGAATTGGTATCTATACTACAGGCATATCTAGGGGGTGTACAGTTAAAGGACTTGGAGTTTAGAAAACAAAAATGGATACATGGGCTGGAATATTTGGCTATTTGTTACTTTACTCTTCTCTGATTACTCTACGTTGAGACTTCAATTTGGTAAAATTAGTTATTCTGTATACATTACGTATACAAACAACTGAATTGGTCCTTTTACTGAATTGTCTACCTTTTTAAAAGCCTTTATATTTGGCTATTAGGAATATTATTTGGTGGAATGTGAAAGTCCTTGGCCTTCATCGCTGATAAGACCCAGTACCCTGAGACATGCAGTACCCAACAATCATTGAAGTGTTAGAGGTGAAGCAGTGTGCGGTTAAGGGACTCTAAAGATTCTCTTTTGGGATCTCCTAATGTTAATTGGCCCAATTCACACTGCCTGGTGAAAACCACACCGCAAAAACAGTTTGAGATGTGCCTTGTAGTACCAAAATTGTAACATCGAACAGTAGTAGGGAAACACTTTCTATTCCTCTTATTTCAACAACTGCTAACCATGCAATAAAGCCCATAGAAAGTGTAGGGAAAGAAGGGTCAATGTGAAAATATAAAGGTGTCCATAGGCATAGGAATGTCTTGTGATCCAGGCAATTTTGATTGGATTGGGAGACCATTGCCTCTCTCTGGACTCAGTATGTGTTCTGTACACATCCCTTGGCCAACAGATCTTGACGATCGAACCAATTATCCAAGATGTGTTTTCTAGCGCAATCACTGTCTTTAACCCAAAATAAGTATAGTGCCATCTAGGGATGAGTCTAGAATTCATAAACGTACTCCAGGCCAATACAGGCATTCATCTTTGTGTCACAACTTTTTCTTTGTCTACGGTCACACTGTAGTTCTTCTGTAAAGCACACACGTGCTTTCTTCAGCAAGATACAACGTTCTCCTGTTTCAGGTACATCTTCTCTCTGCTTTTCTCCGCCTACCTTTTTGTTGTGATTGAATAGCTCAACTCCTTTTGCTTACGTAAAAGGATCCTGTTAGAATAGAAATTCAGAAGCTGCCATTGCTGACTTGTTTTGAAGGTGCAAGCACCAGGGCTTTATTGCTATACTTGCAATATTAGTCTACTTTGTGCATATGAAGTCTCCTGATAGTTCCTTGTCTGCATTCCTGTTTTCGGTTAGTTTCTGAGTGGGTTGTGAAGCCCAGATTAAGATGACATCCACGGAGCCTCATCTTCAGACACAAGTAAATAACGGCAACTCCTCAAAAGATATCCAGAGTCAGTGTTATGTCATATGAATGATTTTGGTGCCGCTGTTATGAAAACATTTCAGGTCAAATGGTTTGGAAATTCATGGATGAATCCTTACTGCGTGTTAAGTTGGTGCAGCTTTTCATTGCCTATGGGAGTTAACCTAACATGCAGAGTGCAGGTCCCATGAAAAGTAACTTTTAAGGCTGTGGCTGTAAATCGTTACTTTTTTTTTTATATATAGGTTCCCTTTTAAGGTCAAGCTACACATGTATTTTTCAGTCGCAAAAAGTCACCATTGTGCCTAAGTAGTCGTAGTCAGTCGCAGGCAGGTTTTGCTGTGTGACTACACGTTTCGCATCTATTGACACTGTAGTGCAGCGTGTGTGGTCTACTCTGGGTCCAATACAGATAAGTCATGTTTTTCTTCTTTTGGGTATTGGAGGTATTTATCCCATGGTGTTTATTGGTACAGCAAACAAAATCCTGGTCCATGTGGACCCTGAAACTTGACCTTGTTTGATTGAAAAAGGGGGGCGACTGACCAGTTGGCAAGTTAAATCTGATTCATAGATTTTTTAAATGAGGCAAATCGGACATCTTGCTCTCCTTCACAGAATCTATAAGAGACTGATTCACTAAAGGATTATTACTCACAAATCACATGTAGTGAATTAAATAAAACATTCATTTCCTCCTTGAGTATATTTGATGGAAAATAACATTTCTCTCTAGTAAATCAGTCCCAGAGCATATATGTATTTCAAATGTGAAAAACAAAATGAGGATCATTGAGGCAAAACTGCTTTTATATGCTCGAATGCATGTAGTGCCTTCCTTAGATTCCCTATAGTGTTAGTTTCTCCTAATACAATAGTATACAGAGGAATAAGACACCATTTTTTTATATTTTGGGAAGATCAGATTCCTATAAAACAAGACAATGGAAAACACAAACCCAGATTGTATATGGGCCTTTTGAATTGGCACTAAAGCTTGTTTAAGGTTTACTACCAACGAGAACAGTTCTTTTCACGGTAGTGTAGTTCTAGAATGATTGTGCAATTGGCTTTTGAACCAATGTCAAAACTGGTGTTGTAGCAATGGTAAGAACTATGTTTTTGGCCTAATCTTAGATGTTGAAAAATGGTGCTACACAGCTAAAGCCAAGTATCTGAACAAATATATATATA